TGCTCTGGTAGAGGGAGCAGTTTGGACAGAGCCCCCAGGACGCAAACCTTCTATTCAACAGATGGTTTTAACTCGCTGTTTCTGACAAGTCTCATTTGGGCTGGTTTACAGGCTCTTCTACTTGCTGTGTCTTCTTGACCATAAGGCTGTTGACCATAAGGCTGGCAGTGTCCTGCCATACGGATCTATTGCGCAACTAAGGTCAGGGCTTGGAGCGCGTGGCCTGCAGATGGAATGGGATTCCCAGTCCTTGTTCCTCTGCTTGGAAAAGCATGATCTTTGCTGCAGAGAGATTTATCAGGAGGAATGAGGGACAGTGGGTAGAGGGGGCCTGTGAGGACACTAGAAGCCACAGAGGTACTAGATTTATTCTTGAACCACCCAAAGCCTTTCCCTCCTGACCTCCAGACGGACCCAGCTCCCAAAGGTGGCAGCCTCAGTCATCTTCATGGCCGACGTCCCACTAGACCCAAATCATGATGTCAGAGGACATTAAGGAGCAAACAATGGGGTTAAAGATCATCATCTCTGAAGCCAGGCTGCCTGGGTTCAAGTCCCAGCTCCATGGAACCTCTCTGAGCCTCAGTTTCCTCATTGGCAAAATGAGACTTATCCTCTGTGTCATTAAATCTAAGATGCCATCCTTTAGAAACTCACCACCAATCTTATGTACTACAAAGACAGTCCCCATGAAACTATGTCCTTTCCTATTCTGATTTCAGAGACATTGAGATTCCAGGAACTGCACCTCTTAGAATCAGGGAAATACAGAGCGAATCCCCACCATGTGGGCCTGGCATGTAAGAAGGGCTCTGTACACATTGGCTGGTTTTGTTGGTATTACCCCCATTTCACAGATGAAGAAACTGAGGTCAGAGTACCTTTCCAAGGTCACTCGCCTACAAGCAGTCAGTGGTGGGGCTGGGCTTTGGGCTTGCTGTGCTGTATGTCTCCTTAATGATCTAAAAGTCATGCCCAGTGATAGGACACCATACTTGGGAGGACCAGGTGAGCGAGAAAGATCTGGAACAGGATGACACTGTGGCTGTGTCTCTCTCCTGGTTTCCATAGCCTTGTCTATAAGATGGGGGTGATAATGGGAACCCAGTGGGGTTGCTGGGAGGATTCATGGAGCTGTTAGGTCCACAGAGTTTAGTGAACCTTCATGCTCGGTTTCCTTCCCTACCACCCACCTTTCAACAACCTGTAGAGCACTGGTACTCGCCTGAGAATTTCCAGGTCCAGCAATCACGGTGGACACATGGACTGACTTGTCTGGCCTCACCACGCCTAAGCACCCTGGACACAGACGTATGCCTGTGCCCACTCCTGCTTATCTCTCAGCCGGCGCCTGTCAGCTGGCACTTGCTCTCCATCTCAAGGCACAGCCAGGCCTGGAGGCCCCTGCCGGCACCGACCCCCCAAGACTGTGAAGAGTTTAGAAATGGATACCGGGACTGTTTACTGCTACTTTAGAGTTTCCTTTAAATGTCAGTGCTGTGCATAAGTTGTTCATCCTTTCCTCACTGGCTTCTGAAACTGTTTTTGAAAGGATCACCTACCTGTCAGTGTCCAGACCCTAAGGTCAGGTGCGGCATCCACTTAACCAGGTCCCAGGGGGAGGCCTTGCTGAGGCAGGACCACACATTAGGGCAGTCTGGTGTCTACACTGTAGCTACATAGCAGTTACTTGAACTTACACGAGTTCATGTGTACCCATTTAGTAGTATTATCACGTGCAACACAGATAGAAAAATAAACAGAGGACAACGGCTACCATCTGGAGGACCAATGCACTGCATTGATTGTCCAGGAGCCACTTGAGCTGCCACTGCCCAGCCCGGCAGGGCTGGGCTCACAGGGAAAAAGCCTGTCCACGCCCACCGAGGGCCGCTGGTGTGCAGACCTCTAGCACAGGGGCCGGTTTGTTTGCTTTGCAGCTTGTGTGAATGCAGCTAGCTTGTGTGTGCTCTGGTGTATCTGGCTTCTTCAGCTCCATGTTGCTTATGCGCTGCTTACACTTCACAGTTGATTATTATATGGCAGGAATATGTTTTGCTGTCACAACTTAGCCATTTTCCTGTTGAACATTTGGGCTGGTTCCAGCATGTGGGATGATTAACGACTGTTGACCTCCTAGGGCACTCTGGAACATTCTGGCACATGTCTGTGGGCACATGTGCATATACATGGCTGTCGGGTATGTACGTGGCAGGAGCCTGATTGTCGTGGTTACTAGTATGTTTGGCATTAGTAGGTGTGCCAGGTGACCCATTTCCACCCCACCAGTCAGCCTGTGAAGTGGCCGTGGGGGCGGGGGCGGGGGGGGTAGTGACGGCCTTAGTGTGAGCAGGGAAGGAAGATGGGGTGGGAATTGGAGGCCTGCTACCTGTGCACGTTACCCTGATCAGGAGGCTGGAAGCTGCAGCCCATTGCAGTTATTTGCTCTGCCATCTGCAGCAGGGACGGTGTTTTCTGGGCTCTAATGAGTGTAGGTGGCTGTTCAAGAACGGGGTATCCAGAGGAGGGAATGCACCCACAGTCTCCACCGTCTCGAATCTTAAATGTCAGTATGGTTTAATTGGCTGCACAGCCCACCCAGCCCCCACCGCTCCTGTAGCAGCACAGCAAACATGCCCCCCAGACAGCAGCGGGGTGCAGGGGCAGGGACACACGGCCTGAGTCACCGGCGCTGCCTCCCGCCAGCTTGCTGGGCGACCTTGTGCAGCTGAATCAGACCCCGGTGAGTCAGCTACCCCGGGAACCTGCCCGTAATCCACTGAAGGAACAGCCTCAGTCAAAGATCATAGAGGGTTATTAGTTAGCATTTGGATAAGTATGTGGATGCATCGGTGGATGGAGAGATGAAGAGAGAAAAATAATAGAACAGACACGTGCTGTGTATATAATACATAATATGTATACATTAGATATATTTGCACAAGTTACTGTGTACTTAGTACCATCTTATTGTTCATTTGCTACCTTTTATATTAACCAGCATTTCTTGAGTAATTATGTGCTCTTGGAGAGATGCCAACACCTTTACATACCTGATTTTGTCAGATGGCTAACAACTCTGTAAGGCAAGAACTGTTGGTCCCGTTTTACAGATAAGAAAACCAAGGCTCAGAGAGGTTAACTCACCTGCCCTGGGCCACACAGCCACTAGCTAACAAGCCAGGACTCTGACCCACAGATTCTGACTCGAGGCCTCTCTGCTGTTAACCAGAACCTGGCATGTCCTGCCAGGTGCAGCGCTCCCATAGGAACTCACACTCCACAGGTAGATGTGATTAGTCCCCTTTGTTAGGTGAGGAAACTGAGCCCCATCAGAAACAAGGAACAGAGCTGAGATCCTCTGACAGGTACCAGGGTACTAGCTTCCACTCCGTGATCTCAGCTAAGTTTTGTGTATAATGGGCTTGTAAATACTCAGTGAATTAATAAAATTCTAAAGTATCTTAGCAAAAAGAAAAACTCAGACCCTGTTTTTTTTAATTATAATAGCTTATTTTTACATCATTTTGTGCCGTTTTCCATTTCAGTTGTAACCCCTGTGGGCTTCACCTGATCACCCGTGTGCCATCACAGATAGTCCAGTGGACTTCCCTCCTCCCATTTTTGACCCCGTTTCCCACCCCACCCCCTTAAAATGTCTCTGGTATTTAGTTGTTCATTATTATTTTTCCCCTGGTCCCTTATGCTCCTGCTTTGAGTAAAACCATCTGGTATTTTTCATTTTCTTTCTGGCTTATGTCACTAAGCATGATCCCTTCCAGCTCCATCCATGTTGCTGCAAAGGGCATGAGTTTATCTTTTTGATTGCTGAATAATATTCCATTGTGTTTATGTACTATACAGCACTGGGGTACAAGCCAGAGGTTCAGGGGCGGTGAGAGGCTTCACCAGAGACAGAGTGGGGAGCAGAACAGACAGATGGATGAAGTACACTGCTGAGGGGAGCAGCGGGCGGGTCAGGAGAGGTCTGCTACCCCGTGTGGTCACCTCTAGGGTGGGGATCGAACTCGCACTGACGTGGCTGCACTGGCTTGCAGTGCTGCGTCCTAACCCGTTGCACCACCAGGGAGGGCCTGTACCACATCTTTTTAATCCAGTCTTCTACTTTTGGGCATTTGGGTTGATTCCACGTCATTCCTATTTTAGACCCTTATGTTAATGTAAATGGAAAATAAACTTTCTGAATGCCAGCCCTGGGTCCCAGAAAGCCAGAGCTGGGATTATTGTGGGGAATCTGGAGTTCTTTCCTTTGTGTGTCCACTGGGTGAAGGCTTATCGAATATCCACTCTGGGTGTGCCGTGACTTGGACTCCCTGGAGGAGAAGGAGGGATGAGCACGCAGGGAACTAAACGGGAAGGTGTCACTGTCACTGCGTAATGTCCTTTTGCATCTTGTCATTCATCTTAAACACTGTCCTCAAAGTGAGCGCGATGAGGCTGCAAATAGCTTGAAAACCCGCAGCCTAGATGGGCATCTGGTTTCGGGAACATATTACTGGTGTTTACACACTTCTGCCTAAAAGCCTGAATGCGTCGTTCTTGATGGTACTTGGTACACATCAGCTACCGCTTTGCTGGTCTCCATCAGAGTCCCCACACACAAGTGGCTCTGAGGAGCGGGAGCAGCTGGGACAGGCGGCCGGCAGAGTGCTGTCTGAGTGGTGTCTGAGGACCCCAGAAGTTGCTGGCTTACGCGCAGCTCTCCATCTGTGGCATCTGGTAAACAGAACGCAGTGCACTGGCTTCTGGGCCGAGCTGGCTTGTGTGGCGCCCTTGGGTGTGCGGTGTGTCAGTGAGGGCCCCAAAGAACTCGCTCCCAGGAGCTCCCAGACCAGTGCCCCAGGTCCCGGTGTGGGTGCAAACACAGGCCTTGAGGCCCAGGCATGATGGTGGCCCTGTGCTCTTGCCACTTGTCATACCGTGTTGTCCACCCTCACCTGAACAGCTGCAGTCATGGGTCCTGCCCTTTTGCTTTTCAGCCTCTGCAAGGGGCGGACTCTCTACTCCGTGGTGAGGGATGCCAAGATCGTCCTGGATGTCAACAAGACGAGGCAGATTGCCCAGGAAATTGTGAAGGTACAGTCGAGTCTGAGGCCTCCCCCTGAACCTCAGAAAGACCCGCTCCCCTCCCAAGACCTCTGGGTCTGTTTTCAAGGAAATCTGACCCACCCTGAGAAACACCAGACCTGGTGTGAGAATGCTGCCAAGGTTTGGCCAGTAGGGGGCGTCCGCATAGCCCGGTCCCCTCCGGGGCCTATTTGCCTTGCTCCATGCCCATGAACAAGCATCCTGGTGGCTTCTCATGTCAGACTCCCTTGCCCCTTGAGCTCCCTCCGCGGCTGCTGGGGAAATCAGATTGCTGGGTGCTGTTTGGGATTAAAACAGACAGAACATCCTGTGTTCTGGCAGGTGCCTCATTAGTCTGTGCTACTCTGACTTTTATTTCCCGTTGGAAGTCTCAGCGCTCAGCTGCCAAATGAAAGAAAATGGGCCTTTTCATAAAAGCAAACACACAAATCCTGGGTGCTCCTCCAGACTGCGGTAGCCTCTTCTCCACGTCCTTGACTGTTGAGTCATGACGGTCTTGGGGGGGCGCGGTGGGCCTGCAGGGTGGGGGAGCCGCCTACGAAGCAGGCGCCTGCAGAGGCGGGGCGCGGCAACGGGCTCCTTCCCCGCTTTGCCGAAGCCCTTGTCCCGCTCATCACATCTCGGTTTCATCAGAAGCTGAGGAGCAGGGTGGAGAGTGTCTGGTGGTAGACTGAGGGTGATGGCCCATCTGCGTTGAGCAGGGTGCTGCCTGCCCCCACACTGGGCCTTCCCTGGCCGCACCCCAGCCCTTCGCATCTGGGGCCCAGGCTCTGCAGCTGTTCAGTGCGCCCTCATGGAGGAGGGAGGAGTGGGCACCCGGAAACCAAGCCAGCTGGCAGCAGCACTTGGGTCTTCTCTGGTAACTTCCTGTTGGTTACCTGCAGGGTATGGGCTACCTCCACGCCAAAGGAATCCTCCACAAGGACCTCAAGTCAAAGAATGTCTTCTACGACAACGGCAAAGTGGTCATCACAGACTTTGGGCTCTTCAGCATTTCTGGGGTTCTGCAGGCTGGCAGGTGAGATGGGTGGAGGAACCTGGGCGGGAGTAGGGGACGTTCTTGTCAGGGAATGGTCGGGGTGGGAGGTCATCTCTGGTGGCCACCAGCAGTGGCCCCACTGCCACTGGCTGGAGTGAGGCTGCTGTGTTGCTGATGAAATGCTGAAACCAGGGGCCAGCCTAGTAGATGTCTCCTGGGATGTGTGACATTGGGCACAGAACATCCCCAGATCCTGCAAAGCTCTTTACCCTTGAATGTCACTGGCGCACTCGCTCTCTTGCCCCAAGTCATCACCTGGAAATTGGGATTACCAAGAGCCCTTGCTCAAAGCTTTCTTATGAATTAATTAATTTCAGTAAAGTGAAAGTATAATTAAAGAGTGAGGGTTTTAAAGTCAGACCCAACCAGGGCCTAACTCAGCTCTGCTGCTTATTATCTGTGACTTTGATCAAGTTACATAACTTCTCCGAACTCCAGTTTCCTTATCTGCAAGAAAAGTGAGGGGTGTGATGATGCTTACCTCAAAGGGTCCTTGAGAGGATATAAGAAGCTAATGCGTCAAGCGTCCCGCACAGTGCCTGGAGCCCTCACAACACTGCAAACAGAGGCTGCTGCGGAGCTGGTGTAATTAGTGTTAATTTGCATATACCCCCAGTATCACAGGAGAATCATTAACCATAGTTAAGTAATTAACTTGCAGCCACCACTCACCCTAGAGCAAGCCACCTTGAGTTGACCATGTGAAAACAGATTGATCGCATATAAACAGCCCATAATTCGGTCTACCCTTTGTAACTTTTAATTTGGAAGTGTGCATGCACACACACACAGCTCAGCCCGTGTGTGTCTCATGAAGTGTGTGCGCGCACGCACACACACAGCTCAGCCCCTGCGTGTCTCTCATGAAGTGGCGCACACACACAGCTCAGCCCCTG